GACCCCAGGTGGGCAGGTTCTTCAGTGAGGTGGATGCCAACCTGATGCTGGCGCTCTACAACAACTCCTTCTACACCCGCAAGGAGTCCTACGACTACCAGGCCGCCTGCGCCCCACAGCCCCCGGGCAACCTGGGTGCTGCTCCCCGGGGCGTCTTTGTGGTGAGCCCCAGCAATGCGTGGCCTGGAGCTGGAGGGTGGGGGGCTGGGAGGCCTGCCGAAAGATGACCCCCTCCCTCTGAGAGAGGGGGTGACAGGGTCCGGGCAGCAGTGGCAGCGCGCCTCTCTCTGCAGCCCACCATCGCAGACTTCCTGAACCTGGCCTGGTGGACCTCGGCGGCGGCCTGGTGAGCCCTCGAGGGCAGAGGGTCAGGGAGGGCTGCAGGGGAGTGGGCGGGGCCCTGGCGCCGCTGACCACTCCCACTCGGTGACCGGCCCTGCAGGTCCTTGTTCCAGCAGCTTCTCTATGGCCTCATCTACCACAGCTGGTTCCAAGCAGGTAGGACGGGCGCTGGAGTCCCCTCCTCCAAGCCCCTCTCCCCGAGGGAGGGCAGGGTCATGGCCGGGCGCGCGGAGAGGAGCTGGGGCCCCAAGGGACGCGGGGGTGGAGGGCTGTGGCTGTGGCTGTGGCGGTGGCTGGGCAGTGGCGGTGGCTGTGGCTGGGCTGTAGCTGTGGCCGTGGCTCTGGCTCTGGCTCTGGCTGTTGCTGGGCTGAGGCTGAGGCTGAGGCTGAGGCTGAGGCTGAGGCTGAGGCTGAGGCTGAGGCTGAGGCTGAGGCTGAGGCTGAGGCTGAGGCTGAGGCTGAGGCTGAGGCTGAGGCTGAGGCTGAGGCTGAGGCTGAGGCTGAGGCTCCGCCGCGCAGGTCCCGCCGAGGCCGAGGGCAGCCCCGAGGCGCGCGAGAGCAGCTGCGTCATGAAGCAGACGCAGTACTACTTCGGGCCGGTGAACGCCTCCTACAACGCCATCATCGACTGTGGCAACTGCTCCAGGTGCCGGGGCGGCCGGGAGGGGAGGGGCGGGGCCTGAGTTTGGGGGCGTGGCCG